CCTAAGCAGACGACATATATATACACACACATACACACAGAGATAGAGATAGTATATACACACACACACACAGAGATAGAGAAAGGGAGATAGAAAGATAAGGTGGGCAAGATTTTTAATTTTTTTTTTTTTTTTGTTTTAATTTAGGAGAAAGTCGTGAAGAAGAAGATGAATAATAGTATATTGATTATTGACAGAAGGGAAACGGGCTGGGTTTGGGTGTATTAGTTACTTGGTTAAGGTTGTGTCGGTCGTGTCGATATAAGATATAAAAAAAAGAGACGTGTCGCAATTTTACTGGTTGGTTAGATTTTGTTTGCGACGTCAATAAGTGAAATTCAGATTATCAGCGAATTGTGTCCTTTAATAGGAAGGGCATCTTCGTCTTTTTTCTTTTCCATTGGCTTGAGTGGGCAAATTGCAACAAATTAAAAATTTAAGAGAGTTTCTTGCAGTTCCAAGAGATAAGTTACAAAACCCCAATAATTTATGAGTCTTTTTTGCACTTAACCTTATATATTATGAATACACAGCTCTTCTTTTTGTACTAAGAATGTAACCTTTTCATAAACTTTAATAATGGAATTTAAAAGATATAAATCATACTATTTAGTATATTAAATACAATATTAATATTTAAATAGAATATCATATTAAATACTATTTATGTTTTTATTAAAAAATCAATAACACTCCTTTCATAGATTATTGACTTTGCATGTCTCAAAGTAATAATCATGGACCCTAGAAGAGGAAACGCTTTAACCATATACTTGTTCATGTGATGTGTTACATTCTAAGTGCTTTGATCGTTGATTTTGTCAAACCATGAAATGGTTCAAACATGCACTCCTTTAATTCCCTGCATGTGATGTGTCACTTTCACCTGCTCATTATTTATCTTCCACCAAAATTCTTGTAGAATGAGTTCACACCTTCTAATTTTTTAAAAGTTTAAAGCTAACACACACACACACACAAATATATATATATATATATATATATATATATAATAACATGAACCATGCTCAAAAATATAATTTTTCTTATAATAATATTTCTATCGGATTGAAATACTCAACCTTATATCATCTAAACTAATCCTCATTAATAAAATGAATTCAAACTTAATATAGAATGTTAGCAACTTCTGATTGACAGACTACGTTTGAAAATTTCAAAATTCGGGTGCCAGGTTGCCATCTCACAGTAACCAATTTTTTCTTGATAAGTACTACACTTTTCTTTTGACCAAGGCTGTGATGAAAGCGCTGTTATTGCGAGCCATTACTATTTGAAAAACTGTAAAGCGGTGCTAGAGAAATGGAACATTTTTATCGAAATAAACACTTAATCTTATGTGATTTTGTCCGCTTTAAATAATTTCATTACCTAATTCTTTGTCATCGATATTTTCTTTCTTAATTTTTCCTTTTTCTCTCTTCTTCTTCATTTCTCTCTCCTCCTCTCTGGGTTTGATTCTTCACTAATTCTTTTTATACATTCCCTCTCTTAATATACACATATCCAAAGTATTCTAGAAACAAAATCTAAAATTCTTTAATCTTGCTCCTTTTTCAAGATCACCTAGTTTTCTCTATTCATAAATCTTTCCAATCCCAGATGAAAAATATGCAGAAGATTTTTTTTTTTTTGAGTAAGTAAATATCCACAGAAGAGTTGCCTTTACAAAACACATTGTTTGATTTTTATGATACAAAATCTGAAGGAGAGAAACAACAGTTGTAACTTTTATTTTCTTTTACTTTTTTGTTCTTTTCTGATTTTGTGCTTCTGTATTTGCAAATCATTAAGAAATTTATTTATTTATTTATTTTATCTTCAATTTTGCGAAATCAAAAAGAGAGACAAAACCAAAATCAAAGATAAAATTGAATATAAAAGAAAAATCGAGAATGAGAGGAAGAGAGGAGAGAGAAGGGAAGAGGTAGGAGTTATATTTTTAAAAAATAATCTTTTATTTAGTTGTTTGGTTCGGTTCTCTTATCATTTTCTAAAAGTGTATTTTTTTGATGAAAAATAATATGTATTTTTGACTTAGACAACTAGGGCTGTTTATACTCATGACGAGCTTGAAAAGTTAAGCTGGAGTTTGGACTTGCCATGGTATTAAAGAGCTCGGGTTCGGTTCGACTTGTTTAAAAAATTAAATTAAACTTATATTTAAAATATGTTGAGACTCGTTTTCAAGCTTGCTAGACTCGTTTGATAAATCATTACATTTTTATTTTATACTTGTAAAAACTAAATAATTCCAATAAAAAACAAAAAACAAATGTTAAATGAACTATTGTTCATGAAGATATACAAGTCATATGTGAGCCTATATTCACAAATATAAACGAGTCTATACGAGCTCATGTTCACGAGTCTGTACGAACCGAGCCTAACACTATTCGGGATCAGCTTGTTTACTAAACGAGCCTAAAAATCAAGCTCGATCTCGATTTATTTACTTAACAAACGAGCACAAACCAAGTCCTAAACAAATCGAGCCCGAACTGTTTATAAACATCTCGATTCATTTGTAATACTAGACATAACATACTTTAAATCATAAAAATATTTTAAGTAGTCACCAAACATACGATTCAATTCAATTAAAACTCCTCAATTAAAAGTTCACTCAGAATGTTCTATAAAATATGATATAAAAACTTGAATATAGATTTTGATTGAACTAAACTACTACTGATGGTTATAATTTAATTACCCGTGAATAGGGGAAGATCGTTAAAGTAACGCGCTATCTCATAAGATTGAGATAGGCTCTACAAACTAAGATAAGGACTGCGACTAAGATAAGAGTTACAGATTACGATAAGAATTGCAGAATACGATAAGGATTAGGCCAACAGATTATGATAAGGATTAAGGACGACGTGGACACTACGTAACATCCTGACCCAAGTTCTATAAATAGGGAGGGCTAATCGACGTTTGGAGGTAGGCAAAAAACCATAACTCAATATCTCGATTTCTCCAGAGAGATTATCATTTACACTGACTTGTTCGTCGGAGCCTACTCCACCGGTAACACACCAGTGTTTGTAGGATCACTTTTTCTTCTCTTTATTCAGGAAGTCAGATCAGATCCGGGTTACGCAGAATCCATCTTCAACAACTACTATCATTTATAAATTTTAATAATTTATAGATTTTAAACATTTTTCATGAATTGTCTATTGATTGAAAGAGGTGGTCACTTCCTCACTCTGTCACCTAATAGAAGTCCCGTTCATAAAGTCGGTCACTTCCTAACACCGTCACCTGATAGAGGTGGTGACTTCCATTCAAGTCACTCTGTCAAAATAAATATGTTTCCATTCATTATATTTATTTTGAGTAGTGATATGAAACCGAATGATTATTCTCGAATTGTTATTGAGCCTTATGGGGCTAAGCCACGTCAAGTTTATTAAGACATTTTTAAAGTGTAAGAATTCCACGTCTTCTCTTGCTGCACGTAACTTGAGTGGGTCCTCCATCAATTATTATTCGTCTTCAACTTCATTGTTCTGAAGTCTGTTCAATCATTGACTTTGAACGAAAAATAAATAATGAAATGTAGAAAATATAAAGGAAATTGGAAAAAAATCCTGAAAGGTACTAGGATGGTTTCTTCAAGAACTTTAATTGATCAGAAAACACAAATATCAAATCAGCAAAGAGAATATTTAATAAAAGCAAAAAATATATATATATATATACACACACACACATATAAATATAGGTATGATTGTATCAATATCCATTTGAAAATGAATTTGTATTCTTACCAGCAAATTGGAACTTTTAGATACCACTAACGGGAACGTCTTCAATGTTGTAACGAGGGGCTTCTTATCAATTTGTTTAATCTTTTATTTGTTTCGATCTATCGATTTTGTCCATGAGTTATAATTTGGCATTTCTAGATTTGCCGCGATCAACGCTGAGCAAAACTTGTGAGTTTGATACAATTTATAAAAATTTAAGAACTCTCCATCAAATTCCCAAAGGCGTAAGTAAAGAACACTTTTTGAGACTAGGCACATGATCTGATTTAGCATCTGCAGTTTCTTGTTTGAATCTGATTTATGCAGGATGTGAGGTTGAAGATGAAACCTACCCAATTACTCAATACTCAAGTCACGTAAAGTGAGAGAAGATGTTGAATAGTTACCTCTCAAAGATTTTAATGAATCGTGGCTTGGCCACGTCAGGTTCGGTAAAAGATTAGAGATAATTATTCGGGTTTTCTATCATTATTCATTTATTTTTCAACACATTACATCCGAATGAAAAATAAATAAATATAATGTGTTAAAAATACATGTAATGGTGTAGAAACCTGAAATGGAAAAGATTTAGATTGAAGTAGAAGGAAGGAAAATAAATGGAAAAGATTTAAAATTTTTGTATGTTTGTTTAGCATGAAGAGGAAAATGTTCACAAAATTAAGATTCTCGAAAGTTGTCAATTTTTCTCAAATAATTCCCGCATAAAATGCTAGAAAAATTTATTTTTGGCAAAGAATTTATACGATTATATTTTAAATTCCTATTATACCATATTTCAACTAGTTGTTTATACTGTAATTATAATGATTTCAAAATGGAAACCACTTTGTTATATAGCATGTGTAAAATTATACTTGCTATTATAATTTAAACAAACTTCTAGTGGAACAATTCTAATCCTATTTTATTTCATCAAAGTTGTTACAAACAAAAATAAAAAATAAAAAGTATGACAATATTTTTATTAAAGAAATAAATTCAGAACAATTATGACCAGCAACAACAACACAACAACAAAATTTGATGCACGTTCTTTTCCAACACAAATTCATTTATTAATTTTATATTTAAAATCATAATTATTTAATTTTCTACTTCTTGTCATTAAAATTAACATTTATTTTCTTTTATTTCCCTTCACTCTCAATTTAAGCACCACTCCAGCCAGTGAGCAACCCACCCCTATAATAGAGCATCCAGCAGATTTGCTATGTACGAATCTCTGTGTCAGATTCCGGCAAAAAAACCTGCTAAAATCGACAACGAATCCAATTAATTTACTGATTTGCCCATGCCTATATTTAAAGCCGAGGAATGGTAAATAGAAACGAACAGACAACTCAACATTGTAATTGCTTCCCTACTTTGGCAAAACCGGCGCCTTGGGGTTTTATATTACGACGACGTCTCTATCATTCTTTAGTTTTCCAGTGAAAATGATAGCAATCTCTCTACATATATATATAGTCACTATTTTGTATTCACCTGTAATTCTTAATTCTCGAGGATCACGGTTTTGCTTTGATCTATACAAATACAAACACACACATATATATATACTCATGTATATATGTATTTGTATGTATCTTCTTCAGAAAAAAAAAACCATGAATCTACAGTTCCTTCGAAACAACTCTTCGCTTTGGAATATCTGCATTTGAATATCTTGTGAAATCCTTTCTCAGGTAAAGCACCTCTCTCCGTCTCTCCACTTTTGAAATTACCTCCTAAATTATTAGTATGGGGTTTCTGATCAATTCTCTTTTCTTTCTGTGAATCGTATGGACAGGGTAGCATTGCGTTCTCAAATTATGGCCAGCGGCTCCATACACAAATTCCTTACAAAGAGGTGCCACTGTTACGGCTGTTAATGTATCAAAATCTAAATTATTGATTGATGCTTAAACTTAGTTCTGTTGCAATTTTCACATGTATTCTCAAATCCGTGTTTCTTTTCTTATTTTATTTTTATTTTTTATGGAATTGAAGCACATTGGATTTTTTTATTGGTAAATGGTGAAAAGGCTATCTAGTTCTTGTAATGCTTTACGCCCGCTTTGTTCATTATTTTTATTTTTATTTTTTGGAAAATTTACTGGTTGTTAGGTGACATGTGCCTCATATCCAATCCTACTATTCTGAGTTATATCAACATGTTTGATAAAAAATTTACTTTGAGGGTTTTTGGTTGAAATCTGCATGATACTCTCTCTCCCTTTTTCTTTTACTGTTTTGACAAAAAATGAGAAATGCAATTATTGTTGACCACTCTAATTGTGTCAATCACTGTAGTTTACTTTTCACGTTGGAGACTTTCTCAAGAGGATAAAATTTGGATCATAATTGATATGGATTGCATTATTTGTGCTATCCATAATCATCTCCTACTCTTCCTATTATATTCTAGTATATAAGATTCTTATTCAATTGAATTTTTGCATCTATAGACATAATTCATCTGTGTGTAACAAAGATTTATGGTTATAAAATCGTCTCAAGAAGTCTTCTCTATATATGCTAGAATTATGTAATGCTGGTGGTTCTGTGCATTAGGAGTTAATGGGTTGTTAAATTAAGACTTCAAATTTTTTTAATATTTTTTGATGGGTTACTTAATAGTTATCTGTGCTGCACATTCTCTATGCTCTTTAAAATGGCACCAACATATTTCTAGATGCCAAAACTTAATGGTCACTTTTATTAATTTGCAGTCGAATTGTAACAGCTGATTCTGATTCTGGATCTGTGAACAATTTGAAGGAGTTCTACATTCCTGATTACATACTAGTACATGAAGCAGAGGTCGAAGAATCCTCCGATATACCCTCTTGTCCTGTGATAGTATTCATCAATTCCAGAAGTGGAGGCCAGCTGGGAGGAGAACTTCTTGTAACTTATCGTTCTCTTCTTAATAAAAATCAGGTAATTTTTTTTGTCTATGCCAACTGTGTAGATACAGACTATGAAGCATGGATGCAGACCTGTGACTCTGCATATATTAGAGTACCTTAAGGATATGACGAGACTTGGCGACAATTTTTTTTTATTTATTAAAATGTATATAAAATTGTTTACATATGACAAGTTCCACCATAAAATCTATATAATCTTATTCTGATATGAAGTTTATAACTTATCAATCACAATTATTCGTAATTACCTTTATGGTTTTTTTACTCAAAAACAAACACGACAAATGCCCGAAAGTTCATTAATGAATGCATATTTTGTGTGTGCTTGGACTGTTGGACATACATGTAATTATGATATCTCCTACCCTCTTCCCTTCAATCCCCATCTCCACCCCCCCCCCCCCCCCCCCCCCCCAACTTCTTTAATAAAATGTTCAGGTGTGTTTCTTCATTTTTCTATATAGTTAGTTCATAATTAATTTACTAAATTTCATTTTTATTTACTATTATACTTTATTTTTCTATATTAAAGAAAGTTTTCTCCAACATGGAAAGTTTGTCGGTCATTCTTTAGTGTCCATGAAGGTCTGCTCAATGTCCCAAATTATGAATTTTAATTTAGATTATGGACGTGGACAATATGCTTATGAGCATGTTCCATGAGTGCAAGGAATGTCGGTGTCCAATGTCTAAGTAGGCAAGGATCCTTTCTGAAGTGCTGTGCTCCTAGATACATATAAATACATCTTTAGAAATAGGATTTACTGATTTGTATATTTGGATGCAGTTATTTCTCGGTGAGTTTGACAGTTGTATGACTAATTCTTTAGGTTTTTGATTTGGGCGAAAAGGCTCCTGACAAGGTGCTACACCAGCTTTATTACAATTTAGAAAAGCACAAGCAGATAGGGGATAGCCTGGCCTCTGAAATTGAGAAAAGATTGAGAATAATTGTGAGTTGACACTAATAATTTATCAACATTGTTTGGATTTTGTCCTTTCTTTTAAATCTAACATACTTAAGTCACTAGGTTGCAGGTGGGGATGGTACAGCTGGCTGGCTCCTTGGAGTAGTTTGCGATCTCAAACTACCTCGGCCGCCACCAATTGCTACAGTGCCATTGGGAACTGGAAATAACCTACCGTTTTCATTTGGCTGGGTAGGATGCAATGTTTTATATTTTTTCTTAATGGTTTTATTTAGCAGCTTGGAAGCATTGAGATACTCAAAATATTGATTTCATTCAGTGGATGATTCCACAGAGGTTTTGTTGTTCTTTTTTTGCGTTGCCCTCACCATGTAGCTTGCAATATATCCACATATGTATTTATAGATATCGTGCATTGCCATGATTCTCGCCATTCACTTTTTTCCATAATGTTTTGTTACTTTTAGTAGTAATTTCCATTTGTAGGACATCTGTAGACAGTAGCTTCGGCCCTAGATGTTAATGCCAAATTAGATTTCTTTCTCATGCATGAAAATATACTATCTCAAAGTTAAATATACTATTTAAAGTTAGTTCGTTATATATTCAACTACGTATTGGTGACACCTAGCGTGAAAAATAATGTTTTTGTTGTTGGTATTCAGTCAGAACAGGGACTGTGGTTTGTAAATTGCATTTTAAAATTTGCAGGGTAAGAGAAATCCTGGTACAGACCGTCAAACTGTAGCTGCATTCTTGGATCAAGTGCGGAATGGAAAAGAAATGAAAATTGATAGGTAAAACATATTTTCTTTTTCGTGATTCCGAGTAGTGTTTTAAAAATTATTTTAAATAATCCCAAAAATTATTTTTTGATTCCTATATAGATATTTTTCTTGCATTACCTAACTGTAGATGTGTGTGCACTTATGGTTGCATGATTTTTATTATTAAATCTTTTATTTACATATACTTATTTCAAATTTTAGTCACATTGGGTTTGCATATATCTTATTGAAAATTCATACTTTTTAGTATCTTTTGCTGTGTGCTCCCTTTTCCCCTGCCTCCCAATTTAACATTACTGGTAGATAAAAGTATTTTTATGGTTTATTAGATAGTACTGTAGTAGTGAGTGTGTCGGGTATGTGGTTAGACATCATTTACAAGCTTAGGGCATGAGTATTAAAAATGTATGCTACTACTAATGTTGACATCAAAATTTACATTAGACCATAATTCAGACTCTATTATTTCATTTCTGGAATTTTCATCTCTCCTTGCAGTTGTACACACTTTTATTTGGCTCAGCTATAATTGAAATGGATAATAGCATATTTTCTTTTAGTTATATTTTTCTGAAATTTGATTACCATGTTATTCGTTATGTTTCAGCTGGCATATTATTATGCGAATGAGAGCTCCCAAAGAAGGTTCGTGTGATCCTATTGGGCCTCTTGAACTACCACATTCTTTGCATGCATTTCACCGTGTGTCCCCAACAGACACATCGAACAGGGTACATATTTCTGTCTTTCCTTTTTACCTGTGTGAGTGTGAATGTCTGTGCATGTCTTTACTTTCTTGAAGTACATATTTCCCGCCAATTTTTTAGGAAGTGACGTTATGTAGAACTGTAGCTTGTGGAATGTGGGAAGAAATACCTTCTTCCCCTCCCTCCTCTCAAGTCTTTTATAGAAAGTCAAGATCCAACACTAAAGTAATTCTTAGAAATATATATAAATAAAATTCTACCTATTGAATCGACCTTCATTTAGGGAAAATGCTTTGACCTTCCAAATCCCATATCTTGGGATTGTCTCTACCTTGAAGCCTCATTGCATAAAGCTGCAGATGGTAACATCCAATCTGAATACCTCATTGTCAGTTCTGGCTCTAAATTTTTCTGCCAACTGATGCTAACAACTAAAATTTTACGGAGAAGAAAGGTATTAGATTCTTAAATGTAGAAAACTTCTACAATTTTTATTTCCTTTTACTTGATTCCCTTTAGACATATTTTTCCTTTATATGAACGTGACTTCATGCAAATTATTTTTGGCTGTTCCTAGGAGGGTTGCCACACATTTCGTGGAGGATTTTGGAACTACTTCAGCATGGGTAAGAGGTGCTTAATTGAGTTTTTCCCCATTAATTTAGTGTGAAGCTATTTGATTATTTTTGTATCCTTTTTTTTTTTTTTTTTTTTTTTTTTTTTTGGTTATTTAAGAATGCAATTAGAACTCTCCAGTATTGTTGGAACTTGTTCCATACTTGTTTATTTAGTTATTGCTGGTTCTTTCTAGCACAGAATGCACATCATTTTTATATCACTTTTTGTCTCAAGCAATTGAAAGTACCATATATGGGTAATAAGATGGATTAGGATGCACATTGGTCTTTAAGCATTTGCAGTGATAATTCTTTTCTATGATTGTGGCTGTTAATAAAAATGAGACTTCACCATATCTCATGGTATGAAATTGTGGGGTCAACCACATACGATAAATAATAAAGGGAAGCAAAGACTTAGAAGTAAATTCGGCTGAAATACCCAAGTATGAAGTACCTAATTTATTTACATTGAAGTAGCCTTTTTTTTTCTACAAGATAATAAGGAGCATGACGTCCCTTTTCACTTATTTTCTTTTATCTTGTTGGTGCCTTTTTTGAGTTTATTAAGTAATTTTATTTATTTATTTAATTATTATTATTATTTGCAGGAATGGATGCCCAAGTATCATATGCATTTCATGCTGAGAGGAAGTTGCATCCAGAAAAATTCAAAAATCAGTTAGTTAATCAGGTGTTGTTTTATTATCTGCTGTTTGGAGGTCCAGACCTATATAAGCAGTGTACTTGATTTGGTTCTAACTACTATTACTTCAAGTGACTCTCCTTCTGGCTGCAACAGTTGTTGCATTCAGATCAATGTTCATTTGGTCCCCTGACTGTGATCGGATTGGAGAGAGTTGACTTCTGATTTTTCTTGACTCCTACCATATTTGAATAAGGTGTAAAAGTGTCACAAATTACCTGTCTTGATTAATGGTAACACTGTCAAAAACCTGAAAGTCATTATGTTTATCTCAATTTGTTATACTGAGTTGCGACTATTGTTATTATGCTGTACCCTCGTACATATGTATATATTTTTTCCTTGTGATGAACGGTTAAAACTGGTCTTCAACTTGTGTAGAATTGTTTTAGCATATACTATAAAGATTAAGGATTTAAAGATGTTATCAATCTCATGAATTATGAATCTACACCTTGGATTGAATATTATATGTTTTCTTGGGTACTTGGTCGATTTCGCTCTATAGACCTGTTTATCAAAGCACAGAAACTCAATTTTTTGTTTTTGAATGTGCTGGGATAACTTGTCGTTATGCTTTATCATTATTATTATTATTTTTTAAAATGGCAGCTATTTATCATTTTTATATATTTTTTGGGTCTGATCAGAGTTCTTATGCAAGGCTTGGGTGTACTCAAGGATGGTTTTTTGCTTCTCTTTGTCATCCATCTTCACGGTAAGTATGCTGGTGGGGGTTTTAATTATATGCCATTCTAGCATGTATTTGCTCTCATTATAAGTTAAGGTGTTGTTAAAAATCTTCAACTGCATTGACCATTGCTTGGTGCACCGCTAAACACTCAGGTTGACAAGTGTGAGCACACATGTTCAAGTTTGAGAGTGGCCACTTGGTGCAAAATAATGTCAAAAGTTTAGTCTACCTCCAATCTTTCCCTCATAGCATCTTACATAGGCAAAACCAGCACTATGTAATGGCCTTTTGCATTGATCAGACAGCAGAACGTTGTCGTTTGATTTGACAATCATGGGGCTAGAGCTCCCTATTGCAGAGACATTAAATTGTAAAGATTGTTGGACTCTTGCTTTCAGTGCCAATTCTCTTTTTACTTTATCTAGTTATGCTTTAGTACTCCATATAATTGGGAACTGACTTGTTTAAGGCACATGGTATGTCAAACATGGGTGTTGGTCACGTATGATAAAATATCTCACGTCTTGATTCATGGTTTGCTGGGACTTAGAATTTACCACATTGCTTAATAAATAGTTAAATAGTTACGACTTTGCCCTTGTTGACGGTTGCCTTTGAAGTTTCCTTGTTGAATTATAGTAGTATATTAGAACCAAAACTATAGTTTTATGTCGTTACATAGTTGCCTTGATTAATGAATGGATAGTTGCCTGTATCGTAGGTTGCTTTAGTTGATGATTACTTTACTCTGACACTGCTAAATTATGTTGATATATGGTTGCAGGACCTTAAACCATATTTCTTGGTAAATAGTTTGCCAAGTTTTTGTTTATAATCTGATGGGACAATAATATACTATATTCCCTCAAAACTTGGTTTGATGGGACCTTGAAGCATGCTGCCAAGATTGTTAGCTGTGGAGATTATCATGTCCCCTTAATAAATATATATTTTTAATATATGGTAATTTAGGAACTTAAATAACCAGGTTGCCTCAATTGATAGTAGTCTTGGTGCCTTGTTAACTAAGTTTCTATAAAATAGTGATAATAGTGAAACAATATAATAGGGGTAATCAACAAGTGCTCTATTGTGATGACTGCAAATATTGATGTTAGTTTACTCAATTTAGGCAAGCAATCAGAATCAAGGTCCGGTTAGTGGATTTGCTAGTTTCTGCACGTTGTTCAAGCTGAAAATCTATGTGCAGTCATGCATCTTATTTATTATCTTACATTGATAAATTTTAAATTGCATCTTTATATCATAATAGGTACTTTATGTGCATGAACATAGTCTCCAAGCTGAATACTGTGATTTCATTCTGCTCATTTTGTCTATCCAAAACGGAAAAAGATTTTTTGCCTAATTACCATGGAAGTAACTTTCAGATGTTTCATAGGATGTTTGAGTATAAAGGCTATTAACAGTGCTGGTCCTGCCCCATGTGGCATTTTGGGAGGATAGATTGGGTAAAAACTTGACCCTTGGCATTATTTGAAGGATTAGTCATCTTCAAATTGTATTATTGTTCATGAAGTTTATGGTATAAATAGTTACTTGATTTTCTGGTATTCTATTCAGTAGTTCATGTTAATGTTTTAATGAAAATGGGTTGGTCTCACACAGGAATATTGCACAACTGGCAAAGGTTAGGATCATGAAAAGACTGGGTGAGTGGGAAGACCTCCAAGTCCCTCGCAGGTGCTATCAATGGTTCTATCTCACTTTTATTTTGCTGACAATGTTTCTTTTGAAATCTGATGTGAAGTTAATAGTGTGGAACTATTTCATGTTTCACATTGTTTCATGAAACTATAATCTTTATGCACATGTGGTGTTCCTTTTGTAACCTGAGTTTCATGCTTAGCAAAAATATTTATGTTATTCCATTCTTTTCTTTCCGAAGTAAGACAAATGGTTTGATGATGCTCTGTTCCTCAGTTATTTAGTCAGGACACTGTTGTGTAAACTAACATATCCGTTGGACAGTTTAATTTAAAATCAAGATATTCCTGGGGGGAAATAATACTTGATTATGTGTGGAAATCCTATGGGTTTCAATTGATGTAGGTTTTTGTTGACTTTAGTTCATGCATGCAACATGCACTCCAAGTTTGTATAAGAAGAGAGCATAACCCAAAGGTTTCAGTAGCTGGATGGATCATACAATAGCCAAGAAATTTATATAGGAATATAATATTCATGTAGATGGGTATATAAAAATTAGTGTGCAAAAAAATAGAGTAAAGATTTGTTAAAAAACAGAGGGGACAGGATTATGTAATTTAAGTGCAGAAAATTTGTGATTATGGACATTGTGAAGGTATCAAAAAAAAAAAAAATTTAAGAAGCATGCTTTCCTGAAAGGAAGAGCTAGTTTTTCATGACTGAAAAGAGTTTTTTCCCCCTAAATGAATTTTAGTTTTGACAAAGAATGAGTTATCTGTATCAGGGGACTTTGAAGTATTTGCGAAGAGGGAGTGTGGGAAAACAACAATAATAAGTTTTCAGGGATGTTCGCTTTAGTGTTGGTAATGAACGAAGTAACATAGATAAAGACTATTAGCTGTGGTAACTTAAAAAACAGTTTATATTATTCCAATTTTTAAATAGTAGCAGAAAATAGAAACCTAAGAATAATGACATTATATAATAACGAAACCTTATGTCAAAGTCCTATGATCATGACAGCTCCCTAACGTTGTAACAATTTCTTTAGGATATTTTTGACTAGGTACATCTCATAATAAGATTTTTTAACCTATGAGCATCAGCAGAAGGCATAGTAGCCCATTTGCTTTTAGTAATTTGAGTCAGAATAGAAGCTTTTTTATTCAAACCTACTGTTATCTCTTAATTTAGATGTTGTACTTAAAAGATTCAAATTTGGGTTGTCCTATTAAAAGCTCTCCCTCCTTATTCACCTCTCCCTTATACTAGTTTTCCCTTGCTTTAGTGATAAGAGGCTCTGGGAAGATCTTTTTGCCTTGCTCTTTGGATGTTGCCTCGTTGCAAGTTACATAAAAAAATTTCTTGGAAAACTTGGCGGTGAATTGACAAGGACTCTGCCCATTAGATAAAAGTAATTTAACGTGATCTAAGAAGACTTAGAAGCAGGGAAGACGCTAAAAATCAAGTAGGACAAGTATCACTACCAAGCAAAATCATTGTTTGGGAAGACCTAAACAATGAATTTATATGTGTCATAGGCTCATAGCAACATTGCTCATATACATGTGTATTTATATGTGTCATAGCAACATTGCTCTTCAAGTCTTTGTAGAATATGAGTTCTCTCCGAGAAATACAGGATCACTGGAAAAGAAAGGAAGAAAAGAAGGGACAAACCCTACGCAAAAATGCACTATAAAGTGTCTTTTTCAGCCCCTGCTGTCTTCCAATACCATGGCCTTGGCAATAGTGATGTCGTTGTCTTTTGTGGCTAGTAAAATGACATGGTTAAATCTCAATTATGTTCTTTATCCATTATAGTCTTTGTTTTCATTTGACCTGTTATTTCATCTAATTCTTTCAATAAATAATATAAACTTTTGATAATTCCAAATAATTTGATGGCAGTTATTACTAAAACTGTCTTTGGTATGCAGTATCAGGTCTATTGTTTGCCTCAACTTGCCCAGTTTTTCTGGCGGATTCAATCCTTGGGGAACACCAAATAGGAAGAAACAGATATATGTTAGTTCTGATTTGTCCATTTTATATTTTGCTGTTGTGATATGAACTAAGTGTAGAGGCTGTTTAGTCTCTCGTCGCTAAAACATATTTAACCAAAGCGTTTTTTGTTTTTTCATTTTTATTTTTTTAATAACAGAGGGACTTCACTCCTCCATATGTTGATGATGGCCTTATTGAGATCGTAGGTTTTAGAGATGCTTGGCATGGGCTTATTTTGCTTGCTCCAAATGGGCATGGTACTCGTCTTGCACAGGTAACTGATAACTTTTCCTTTGAGACAGACTGGTCATGGTTCAAACTTTTGTTGGTATCCTTCTGATTCCATCAAACTAATTTAGTATCGGCCTCTGGTGGACATACTGCATAAACATTTTCAGATAAGAAGTTACAAATTATTGTGCATGCAGAAAACAAAAACTACATCTCAAATGGTAAATCTCAGATATTTATGCAAGGATTGGATCTTTGTCTAGAATTTATATGAAAAAAACAAATGTTGCCCTGCATATAGAAGTTGTACTGATTCTTCTTGTGAATTACTTGATGATACACTGTTTACCATTATAAGATTTTAGTATCTCGTCACTTTGTTCAAGAGAAAAATGGCAGAAGATCAATTTACAAGAAAATGACAGAAGGCCAATCACAAGAAAAAATTACTCTACGCAATTGAAAGGCCGCATGGTATCAGCTATCTAGGGTTCAGTTGTCAAATTTGGAGTATTGGACATCAAAAGTTTACTGAAATGTTTTAAACTTTAGGTGGGAAGTAATGAGTGTCTAAAATTAGTGTTATATTGTTTAGTAGAAGCCTTGTTATCACTACTTTGAGTCAGCTCCATGTTCATGAAGGTGCGGTTAAATGTTGCATGTTGATCGTTCTATTGCAATTTCTTGCTTGTTAGTATGATGATATAGCTTTAGATTAGGGGTAGGTGTGGAACTGGTTATCACAAAGGGGATGAGAAAAAAGGACGAGAAATTGACAAAGGGGATGAGAAAATAGACCGAAAAGATGAGGCTATACAGACAAAGGGGTTGGAAAGAGCAACAACAATGGAGGGAGAAGAACAAATGAGGAATTCTGAAACCGCCAATATTATTCAGTAATCAAAGTCTGAATTGTTTGGTTACAATAAGGGCAGCAAAATATAATAGGCAAACTCTAAGAAGCTCTAAATTAATAAAGCACTGAAATAACCCTAAAACTAAAAAATAAAATGAATATGCGAATCCTAATTCAATCAATTATCTAATTGTATCTATCCTTGTCCCTTCTTGAAAAGTAGAGGCGAAACGTGTGTGGGATATGTGTGCGAGTCATATCTCTATCTCTATCACCTGTTCTGCACAGCACAATTGTAAGAGAGATGGTACGTTTATCACTGGGGTGAGAGTGGGGATGAGTTTTATCTACGGATGCTTTAGGATGGGATATGGTTTGGTCACTTCACCCTGCCATGGAAATTTACTTCAATGCATCTTCTATTGTGTTGGTCATATTTTGTTTATCCATTGAACATTTGTGTTTTCAATGTTCACGGGGTCGTTCAAAGTTCAAACACAGGTGGAGTCCAAATATTCCTTTTTGTAATTAATGTATCTGGGAACGGATAAAAAGTTTATGGGGTGAGTTCTGATTAATTTGCATTGCGGGATTCAAGTCACTACGAAGGATTCGTTTTCACTAGGCTTCTCTTCTGTGTACAAGAACTCCTTGTTCCTGCACCCCGTGTAGTACCAAATCAAGACTATTTTGAATCAATCACTCTCTTTGAGACTGTTGTATCTTTTCTTTTCTAAATTCGATTTTGATTTCTGCGTGTAGGCAAACAGAATTCGATTCGAGTTTCACAAGGGTGCTGCTGACCACACGTTCATGAGGATTGATGGGGAGCCATGGAAACAACCTCTCCCTGTAGATGATGATGCTGTTGTTGTTGAAATCTCTCACCTCCAACAAGTGACAATGCTTGCCAACGAAAATTGCATATCCAAAAGTATCCTTGACCCTTCTTCTGACGTGGATGAGGATGACTATGACAGTCATGAAGAAGAAGTTGCAGAAATTTCCGAGGCGAGGAGAAAGTTTGGCGCGGCTGACACTTTCCGGTTAAGCAATGAAATTGACATAACTCATCTTAGTTAGCTATCCCAGATTTTGCTATATGGCTTGTATAGTCTCTGAGTCTCAGATTGTCCATAATGACAGAAAGTACTCCAGTATCAATTAGCAGTTTGGACGGAGCAGTCAGCTGCAGTGAGTTGTCGATTATAATTTGCATTCACAAAGTTAAATCTTGCTTGCTCCTGAACTTTGCACCAAGCTCATCCACAGCAATCCATCTCAGCTATTTTACCTTTGGCTCATAAATTTCCTTTGTTCATTTACCATCACGTTTTAGCACATCTGAGTTGACTGTTGTAATTGTGATGCAAGTTCAGTTTTTCAATGGCCCAAGACATGTTCACTCCTTTAGATAAGTTTTCTTTAACTCATGTAAGGGATCAAAAAATTGTTGTGATGATACATATATGTATCTCTCTGTGTGTATATATATATATATATGCTAACATCTCAATCAATATCAGTCAGTATCACTTGTGCTTTTGAAGCCAGCTTTGATTTCTGTTGTTAAATTTGCCAAGGGCCATTATCGTTCATACATTTAATTGATGTCTTAGATTTGGTATTCTTTAAGTAACACAAATTAGCAAATAAGGTCACAAGAAGAAGGCTGCTCATTTTGAACTCTAATTGATTGAATTAGTCATCCATGTACCCGAGCAACTACACCAACCTTTTGTAATAATTATCCATGGTTGATCGTTCGTTTCGAAAACTTCTCTTAAATAGCATAACTTTTCATTTTATTATTTTGCCATTAAATTATTTTATTAACTTATAGTAAAATAATAATAATAATAATAATAGTTAAAAAATACATTTGCAGAATTTGTCACAAACTTTACTTGATACTTGAATGTGAGAATATTTTAAAATTTTAAAACTTAATATAAAGTTTGTTTTAATATGACAAATGAAACTGACGAGGATGACACGTCACATAACGGTTACATTTTCGAAGCAGTTTCCGGGTCCAAATACACGGAAATGAGGTGGGGTTTGGCTCGTGGTTTTAATATTGATAAACCATGGGACCAGGACACAGAAAATGACTCAAAGTAGGTGGTTTTAAGACCTTTTAACATCCACAAACTATGGGTGTATTTCATAAACAATAGGTTAAACCGCGTCTGGTTTTGTCACATACTCTCTCTCTAATCGCTCTCTATATATACTATATATAACAAAGAATTGTTCATCAGTACTCACATCTGAACACAACCATCAAAGATCTCAAATTCTGAATTATTGATTTCAATTGTTGTGAAACCCTTTTACCCAAATAGCAAACATGAGTGCCACAAGAAAAGCTTGGGTTGTTGCAGTTAGTATTGGAGCAGTTGAAGCATTGAAAGATCAAGGGTTCTGTCGATGGAACTACGCCCTCAGGTGTGCAAAGACCAATCTAAGGTCTTATTACCAGGCTCGGAGACTCTCTGCTGCGGTCATTTCTAACTATGGGGACAGAAAAGAGAAGATGAAGAAAACAGAGGAGAAGATGAAGAAAGTCATGGACTTGAACTGTTGGGGTCCTCATACTATTAGATTTTAGTACCAGCTCTTGTATACGTATTTTGAAATATATTAGAAAAGATTTTTGAAATGTCTTCTCTCTTGTGTTGGAGTGATCACAAATGATTTACCATAATGTTATCACATTATTAAACTTGTTGGTCTCTTCATTATTATTATTATTATTTTATGGAGAAAATGACCAATAATAAACAAAGTGCTTCTTAGAGCAAGAAGTAAAAATATATAATATAAATTAATAATATGCAAAACCTGAAATCTATTCCTGACCCACCATAAACTTTATGGTTATTTCTATATGCATGTGTTGTCTTCATCCATTTTTCATTGCTCAACTATATGGTTATATGTGTTATGTCATTTATGTCCTAACTCCTATAAATCATCTATCATCTATTTTTCATTTATTTTTTAAGCAACCCTTGCATGATTAAATCATACAGCCAAGCACGGCAATTATTTATATAATTGACTGCAGCAATAATATAGAGCAATATTTTGTTTTATATAATACAAGGGACGGCAACAATGATATAGCACAATACTTTGTTTTATATAATTTTAAAGCATTTTCTTAGTAACTTTTATATTGAAATGTCTGTGAAATTTGTTTTGATTAGGTATAAAATTTTGGCAGCAGTTTAACTTAGATATTAGAGGATATTAAAATAAAATTAGGGATTTTTACAAAAAAGTGTATTTATGGACCCATATTCACTATATCATGCAGTCAAAGTATTGAAATCTCAGAAAAATGAAGTTGAATGAAATAGTGACGTGGCAATGAACTTTCAATGTTCATTATATTTTGTTGCCTAAATACCCCTCGTTCTGGTTGAATCAATTTACCTTATTATCCCCATTTCATTTATTTATTAACACAAATCCCATAAACCACTTTCTGGCCATTACATCCGCATCCAAAATATCCCAAAAGGAATCACTTTGTTCTCTCTCTGAAGTCTTTCTGCCTATGCACAGAACTTTGAAGACCAAAATGTTCCCAAAACTTCACAAACCCAGGAGAAAATATTTAAGCTTCAATATTCAGCTAGCTGTGTGGTGAGATGCAGCAGGGGGAGAGTTAATTTGTGTGCCTGATAAATGAAGGGGGTATTGAAGTAATTTGATTTAAACAGTATAAGGGGTATTTTAGGTAACAAAATATAATGGGTAGTAAAAGTTCATTGCCACATCAACAATTCAGTCAACTTCATTTTTAAGAAATTTCGAGACTTTAACTTCATCATATAGTTAATATGGGTTCATAAGTAGTGTAAAAATCCCTAAAATTATTACTATGAGTTTGAAGTTGACAATGAGAGCATTTGGACAAAACTATGATAAATGAGAATACAAGGTTCAAATATTTTTGGCATTAACAAACACAACTTTGAATTTGACTGTTATATATAATATAGTTTTGAATTCAACTAAATTATAATCAAACTTACCATTTTAATTGAAAAAAATCCCAAAAAACACATTTGAAGTATATTTTTCGTAACAATTTTATTCCCTATTTAAAAAAGTATGTAATAAACACACGCGAATATTTTGACATTGTGCAAAATTACCTATTTGTCATAAATCTAATATAAATTAGTGCTGTAATATCCATTTTACTCTTTTATTCTTTCAAAAATGCCCAGGGGTATATATGCAATCATCATTTTCATTGCAATCATCCTCTGTCGTCCCGTGCTCGCCGTTGACCAAGCAGTTGCCGGTGGTTTATTCAGAGCTCTCTGCCGCCGCCTCTTCATTGCCACCGTTCATATAATGCTGCTGACCTCAGATCCACAACCGTCACCGAGGTTTTCCTCACTGCCAGTGACACCAACTAACAGTCGGCCGTTGTGATACCCCTCGGATCCAAGACACGGGTTGATCAGGCCCAGGCCCAAACCCGAGGGAATATCTAACAATTAATATTTTATAATGAATACGGAATACAAAATGAATTAAGAAATGAAATTAAAGCTGAAATGAACTAAAAATAGAATCCGCAAAATATTATAATTATTAAAATCCATCAAACCCAAACTCCAAAACTCCATCAGTTTACAACTCGGGAATCCATCTCTAGTGGACCCCTATTAAACATCCAAACGGAAGATAGAACAACTGTAATAAACATCCAGAAATAAAACTATAGAGAGAGCCCTACATCGTCGGAAGAGTGAATAGAGACCTCTGCTTAGCACGAACACGTCTAAGCCTGGAACTGTCGTGTACCTGAAAAATAGAAGTGGGTCAGGCCCACGCGCAAGTTCTATACTACTACTACCCAGGCAGAGACCTGATACGCATGTACATCTTAACCAATCCAACAATAGCTAATAATCCATAGACAAATATATATATATATAATCACACTACAGGACTCTCACTGGACTACAGGCCCGTCTCAACCTGACTAGTAGGCACTATGCGAAAAGTGCACCCAAAGGTGGGCATGACTACCTAGTCCTAGCAGGGTACACATCCAACCATCATAGCCAGCTATGCATCCCAATGCATATACGCTCCCTAACCAACGACTCTGAGACTCAGGCTCATATCGTGGTATCATAAAAATATATTTAAATTCCATTCCAAACCAAAGTGTCACTCAATTATTTATTAATCTGACACAGAAGACAGGTAGGACTTAACTTTTGTAGTTAATCCATCCCTTATTCCAGAGTAGGTAGGACTTAGCATTTTTAAGCTAATCCCCCTGGTATGTCACCGTCCCATACTGGTGCATACAAAAATATCCATCCAGAATTGATAATATATATATATATATATAAAATACAACTATTCCAGAAAGTCCACAATTGATAATAATACATCAAGTATAAACATCAATGATTCCATAATAAGTATGTTAAAATTCTATAACTTAACAGGCTTATAACTACTACTTTCCAAGATCCAATAATTGATAATTTATCACATACATGCAAACATCAATTATCCCCACAAAACATGCTAGAGCAAAGTACATATATAGAAACATACCGATTTAAGTCTACTCTAACAACCTCTCATAATTGACAACACATCTAATGTATGCAACTGTCAATCTATCCACAGCAAGCAAAATTAAATATTTATAACCTTGCATGCTTATATAGAATTTCTTAACCATAATATCTGTATTCAATTCTCAAGAATTGTCATAAAAAGACTTAGCAATTTAACACCTTTTACATCCGAAAACTGTAATCTAGTTTAGTTAAACTTTACCCATTATTCAAGAATGAACCTCAACTTGTTTAATTTGTTTTAGTTTGTTCCCTGAAGTTTTTATAAGCTTTTAGAACATCACTAAACACTCCATTACAGCCTCCAACAGAATCTGAAATTACCAAAATCCAAGTCTCGTAGCCCAAACGGTTGCCCAAAACTTAGAAAAATGGAAAAAACTGGAAACCCACAAAGGAGCCGGCTCCACCCAAAGTGGAGCCGCCTCCACTACCAAGTAGAGCCAGATCTACTACAAAGTAGAGCCTGCTCCACTTTTTAATTGAGCCTGCTCTACTTGAAATAGAGCAGGCTCCTTCCCCTGTGCGTCGTTTTTCCAATTCCGGCGGTGTCCGGCTGTGTTGATCCTCCAAACCAAATTCCTTGCTGATTAAAATTAAGTCCTTGGGTGTTCAAAAGTTAATTAACTTCCTTGATTAATAATCACATTCAGTGGGAACAAGAATTAAACAAAATAATTTAAAAACGGTTAACATGTACCTAAGAAAACATGCTGTTCAACTTCTTCTCCAACTCCGGCAACTTTGTTCCTCCAACCCACGTTTCCTATGGATTAAAACTAAGTCCCAAAGGCTTTAAAGTTATTTAAGTTCATTACTTGTTAATCAAATTCAATTTAAACAAAAACAAGCACAAACAGTTTCATCACGAACGAAAAATTCACATAGAACCCATACTGTTTGAAACAAATAATTACAACCAAATTAATTTGGCTTTATTTCTTCCTGGAACTGAATTAGAGATGTAAAGAACACAGGCCAAAGAGATAGAGTTAGTTATAGAACTTGCCTGTGAGATTCAGTTCAAAAATCTCAACGTCTTTCTTCTAAGTTTTCCGGCGAACTACCTTCTCCTAACTCCCCTGATACTTCTGCCTCCAATACGTGTGGTTAGGGTTCTAAACCCTTGGCAGTCTTATACAGATATATATATATATATAGGTTTATAAGTTTACACAAAACCCTAGTTTAATTTAAACCCTAAACTAAATCCTTAGTCGGCCCATATGAAACCTAATTAATGCTTAATTATGTCGGCTACATACGTGACTTCTAAAACCAAGACCCATAATTAATCCTACTAACATAAAACTCTAATTATAGAAAATCCATTTATACTAAATTAAATCATTTAACACTTAAATCAATTTCAAGAAAAATAATTAATTCTATTTAAAGAAAACAATTACATCCAATAATTAAAACGCAATTAAATAAACAATTAAATAAAATAATCAATAAAATAAAATAAAATGCAATTAAACAAATAGATAAATACCAATTAAATACATGTCACATAGGTAAACAATTAAATAAAATAATTAAACCAAATAATCACGCAAAAATACAATAAAAATAATAAATAAATGCCGAGACTATCCTTTTAAAATCAGGGGTATTACATTCTTCCCCCCTAACAAAAGGAATTCCGTCCTCGGAATTCGCTCTTACCTTCTTCCAATATTTCAGGAAACTGCGAGCGAATGACATCCTCCCGTTCCCAAGTGGACTCAGCCTCATTGTGATGACTCCACTGCACACGAACTAAAGAGATAACCTTATTGCGAAGGATTTGATCCCGACGGTCAACAATACGACATGGTGGCTCTAAATAAGTTGCATCCGGCTGTAACTCAATCTCCCCAACATCGATATGCTGATATTGATCCTCATCGCGCAGAAATTTTCGCAACATGGAAACATGAAACATGTTGTGGACACGATCCAAAGTATCCGGAAGTGCCAACTGATAAGCAACAGCTCCAACTCGATCCGTAATCATGAATGGACCGACAAACTGCGGAGACAACTTCCCTTTCTTCCCAAAGCGCATAACACCTTTCATAGGTGACACTTTGAGTAGAACCTGATCTCCAACTCGAAACTCTAAAGCACGAGTACGCCGATCAGTATAACTCTTCTGCCTACTTTGGGC